AACATGGGGAAAACTCTTGGAGACCTTGGAGTAGGCAAAGACTTCTTAAAGAAGAGCCCTAGAGCACAGGCAATAGTCCCCACAATAGACAAATGAGACTATATTAGGCTGAGAAGTTTCTGCACAGCCAAAGAAACAATAACCAGAGTTATTCACCAGAGTGTGAGACAACCTCAGAGGGGAGAATATAACTCCAAACTGTATCTCAGGTAAGGGACTGATAACCAGAATATACAGGGAACTCAAGCAGTTTACCCACACAAAAAATATCAGTTCAATGAAGAGATGAGAAAATGAGCTGAATAGATAACTTTCCAAGGAAGACATATGTACAAGCAAGAAACATACAAAAACATGCTTGACATCTCTTATCATAAGGGAAATGCAAATCAAAACAATAATTAGATACTTCCTAACACCATTCAGAATAGCTAAAATTAAAAAAATTATTAATGGTAAGTGATGGTGAAGCTGTGGTGAAAAGGGAACTCTCCCTACACTGTTAGTGGGAATATAAATTAGTACAACCAATGGAGATTCCTCAGAAACCTACAAATAAAACTACCATATGACCCAGTAATTCCACACTTGGGTATTTACCAGAAGGACGGGAAAATCCTCCGTTGGGAAAATCATTTACATATCTATGCTTATTGCAGCATTATTTACAATTTGAAAAAAAAAAGGCATATGTATTCTATAGAATCCTCGTCAGCCATAAAAAACCATGAGACCCTGACATTTGATACACAGTAGACAAGTATTTGTTTAACTTTTAAAGATTTATTTATTTGTATCATGGGTGAGATAGTATACAATGTTCCTTCACAGGACCACCTTCTGTGCCCTTCCTCAGCCAGCCTGGATCATGGGTGCATGTGTGCCTGGAGTACTCTGGAAAGTCTCAGGACATGAACTCAGAACTTTCTCGTGTGTGTCTGTTTTGCAGGGCTCTGTGTTTCACTGCATGCCACTGTCCAGTCCTGAGTATACTTAATTTGTAAGTATATATATATATATATATATAAGAATTATGATTTATTATTCACATTTAATTGTTGTACATATCTATATCACATGATACAATTTTTCATAGTATGCATTTAGTACATGACAGTCGAACCAAGGATATTAACATATACATTATTTTCAATGGAGAATGTTACATTCTTATGTTGGTTAAATGTTTCTTCCCTGATCCTCTTTCACCCACCTTTACTAACCCCCAATTCCCATACAATCTCTGGTACTTACACTTATTCTCCCTACTTTTTTTTTTTTTTTGAGAAGTTTTTTCGCTATAGGGCACGTGCACTCGCCAGACAGACAGAGAGAGACAGAGAGACAGAAAGCGAGAAATCACCCCCCGGGGGGATGGTCACACCGCAATCCCTTCTCCTCCATTCCCCTCTCAGGATCTTGGGCACGCATGCACACACGCCTGGTGTGAGTTTTAAGCCACCGGGTCTGGGATGCAAACCGCGGTTGACTACATGGGAGTCCAGCGACATAGCCATTACGCTAACTGCTGGTTCCCTCTCTCTACTATTAGAGCTTCAGATCTTTCCATTTCTGCCATAGAGTGCAGACATTCAGTATGTATTGAGTGAGGATATACAATGTTTGTCTTTCATAGTCTGATTTACTTCACTTAGCATTAAATCTTCTAAATTCATCTAGTTCATATCAGTGACAGGGTCTTATTGTTCCTTATGGCTACGTAGTATTTCATAGTGTTCATGTGCCATTTCTTTTCAATCTAGTCATCAGTTCTTGGACACTTAAGTTGACTCTATGTCTTAGCAATTGTGAATAATGAGATGCCACTTAATCCCAGTAAGAATGTCTTTGATCAAGAAAACAAAGAATGACAAATGCTGGCAAGGCTGTGGTGAAAAGGGAACTCTCTTACACTACTGGTAGGAATGTAAATTGACACAGCCACTATGGAAAACAATACAGAGATGTCTCAAAAATCTACAAATAAAACTATCATGAGACCCAGTAATTCCATGCTTTGGTATTTACCCAAAAGATAGAGAAATAGTCAGAAAAATATTTGCACATCTATGTTATTGCAATATCTTTAACTTTTGAATAATCTATAATTTTTATTTCTAATGATCTTTGATCAGTGCTTACGAATATGTTTTTGTGATTAGTTTTTTTATGTTATTATTTTGTTGAATATTTGTAGTTTTATTGCATTATGACCAGAGAATATACTTTGTTAATGTTTCATTTTTTGGAATTTGCTGAAGGGTTTTTATTATTTCTTTATGGTCGTGTCCTGCTAAGTATTGTAAATATATCATGCTTCATGTGTAGGTTATTAAGTCCTATATTTATCTACTGAATTATATTCATTAATTATAACTGAGTTCTTTTTCTTCGAATATACTCAATTAGATAATTTGTAGAGATGTATATTAATGTAGCCCACTATAACATTAGTTTTATCTCATTTTTTTTTTGAGAGGTTTTTGCTGTAGGGCACGTATGCTCGCCAGACAGACAGAGAGAGACATAGAGATAGGAAGTGAGAAATCACCCCCCCAGGGGGGATGGTCATGCCGCAATCCCTTCTCCTCCATTCTCCTCTTGGGATCTTGGGCACGCACGCACACATGCCTGGTGTGAGTTTAAGCCACCGGGTCCGGGACTCGAACCGTGGTCGACTATGTGGGAGTCCAGCGACATAGCCATTACGCTAACTGCTGGTCCCTATCTCCTCATTTTTTTGAACATTCTTGTTTTCTTTCTGTTTTTGATTCTTTTCTGTTTGGTGATAACTGTTATCTTTTATTAATGATATTCCTTCCTGTTTTTCAATGCATCTTTGTGTTTATTCTTATACTTATTTTTCTTCTGTCATTTCAATGTAATTTGGCAGAAAGAGAAGGTACACATATATAAGAAGACTTCAAAAAGTTTGTGGAGAACAGAATTAAAGTATGAGTTTATTTTGGTATGAACAAAATTTCATAATCCACACATAGCTTTTTCACAATCCATATTCTCCATGAACTGTTTGAAGTCCTCACTCCCCTCATATTATTGAAACTACCATCTTGAATGTGAATATTCTAGTTTCTTTTCTTTTTTTTAAAAATCAGTAAATACAAATCACAACCTATTTTTTCTGGATTCATCACAAAAAGAATGAACACTGCAGCTCAATAATGAGTTCTCTTTCCAAAAATTATTCAGACAATTTTCTGTCCCATTGCAAGAACTTTTAGGTGCCCTTTGTAGAAGGAAAATAGACAAGCTATGCCACAAACATGCTGTTAGCATCTGGGATCAAAAAGATGTTGGCCGAGACTATTTGCTGATTTACAGATGTTTTTCTATATACACTCCCTTTCCCTGCAATCCATCCTCCACATTGACACATGTGGAGTTTTTCTAAAAATACCAGATCATGTTGCTCTCCTGCTCAGGAACAGGTATGTCTCCCTAGTACCTGGAGAACAATGCTCTGAGTCTTTGGCCAAGCATTTAGAGCTCTTGCTTCTTTGCGCCTCCGTAGAGTTTTTTCTCTCATTATTCTTCTTTCCTGTCCCCTTAAACTTTGTGTTCATTCTCCCCAGACCATTCTCTATTCTCTGAAGGCATCATAGATGTTTGTTATTCCCTGCCTTCACTCCTGCTGTTCCTCATCCAGGGGGCCCTCTTTCCTCATCTCTGCCTAGATGAGATCCTCCCTATCTTTCAAGGTTGTATCTTGCATCATTTTTGTCTCTGACGTTCCAAGATGAACCTCCAGGGGACTGGTTGTCCCCTTTCCTACAGCCCTTTGTTGTAGCTACTATGATGTTAGTCACTGTCCAACTTCTGCTGGAAATGGAAATGTATGTGACCAACTCTTCGAGTGACCTGTGAAATTTTTAAAATTTTCTTTTTATATTTTTCAAATTTTGCCAGAGTGCTTGTGAGCTCACCAGAGAGAGACAGAGAGAAAGAGGGAAAAGAGAAAGCATCCTCATGGGAAATGGTCACACTGCAATCTCTTCTCCCCCATTTCTCCCTAATTTTGGGGATCTGGGGCATGCACACACACACACACACACACACACACACACACATCCAGCATATTCTTTAAGCTGTAAGGTCTGAGACTCGAACTGTGCAGTCAGCCATGTGGGATTCAGTCGCCTTAACCACCAGGTCACAGGCTGGCCCCAATCTGCAAACGTCTTTTGAGGGCAGAGCTGTGTCTGATTCATCTTTGCATTTCCTAGGTCCTCAAAAAGAGTGCTATGTGGGAAATCCCAGAAAATATGTGGCTAAATTACACCATGGTTTTGGACAGGTAAGGGAAGCAACATCTAGTAGGGGCTGAGGAAAGAGGTACTGGGGAGTATTAGCTGATTGAAAATCAAAATTTCTAGTTCTGAGGTGAAAGTAAGATTTTTTTTCTCTTTATATAAATGGATCTTAATGTGGAAAACAATCTGACAAGTTTTGTCATTGTCTCTTGGTATCTACAGAATATTTGTTTCAGGAATCCCCACAGACACCAAAATTTGAGGATGTTCAAGTCCCTTATAGGAAATGGTGTAGTATGTTCATATAACTCAGGCATATCCTCCTGTATACTGTAAATTATCTTCAGAGTACTTGTAATACCCATTACAATGCAAATCCTATGTCAATAGTTGTTACACTGTATCTTTATTATTACTTTTTATCATTATAGTTTTTAAGGTTTATTTATGATGAAGAACAGGGTACATGCACAGTGAGAGAGAGAGGAAACAGCCTCAGCAAGCTCTTGCCAGGCTGCGATCTCCTTCCCCTGGCTATCCAGTTCCTCAGGATCTTGGGCATGTGGCATGCACCTGGTATGTTTTCAAGCTGACCTGAGGATCCAAACCTGCAGCTAGCTGTGTGGCTTCCAGCACTGGAGTTCAGTTTATTAATGACTACACTGCCATGCTAGGCCTGTATTGTTATTTATTTATTTATTTTCCCTGAATATTTTTGATCTATTATAGGTTGAACCTGTGAATATGGAACCCATGGATATGGAGGGCCAATTGTACTTCCATCCTGCCTAAGTCCAGCAAGAAGAAAAGGCAGGATTCCCTAACTCAGTGGTGAGTAAAGGATCCCAACTTGTTGACAAACCCACTGATGACTGGAAGGAGGGTTTAGAGTGAGGGAGCAGTGGCAGCCTTCAGGTTACTGAGGAAGTGGGACAACCTTTCTAGCCAGATGGGATATAAACTGTGCTGGAGACAGCGTGGGAAGAGGGTGGGAAATGGCAGAGGGTACAAAATAGGGGAGCAAAGTATATATAAGAAACAAGAAGTGGAAAATTATTGCTGATGATAACAAGTATGAATAAGCCACTCTACAGTATATTCTCGATGGGAAATTGCATATTGTACGCTGTGATGGTGTTCAGTGAATGAATGTAAAATAAATACATTAATTTTTTTTTTTTTAAAGAAAGAAAATAAAAGCAGGGTCAGAGCCAAAGCTGGCCCAGAGAGAGGGCAGTCATGAGAGCAGCCAGGGCTCCAGTGGTAGGGCTGTTCAGCCAGAAGCAGCCCAGCAATTCTTTTCAATTATATTTTATATTGCAAGCAGAGCACTTGCTCTTAAATTCAAATAGCTACATTCTAATCAAACTGCATCAACCTGTTCCATATTAAAGGCTGATAAGTTTCATCTAATCTAGAGTACATTCTAGCAAGCAAAAAACCCTAAACAGAAAAAGATCTGGTCACAAAGTGCTGAATTTAGGGAGCATGGACCCCTAAGTATGATTTTTTGAGGGAACTTCTACCAATAATAGGTTCATGCTTTGTTTCTACCTCTTCCTATCCATGTGACCATAAGCAACTTCACCGTTCGAAGCTTACTTTATCTACTGTAAAATAAAGATAGTGTCTACTCCAAAGGCTTTTTGGAAAGATAAAGTGCAGTAATGCATTTAGAGCACTTAGCACAGTGCTTGACACATAGTAAGCGCTCAGTAAATGTTAGCTACTACTATTATTATCTTGCACAGTGATGAGCAGGGTTGCTGTGGTCATCTGGTGGCAGCTGAGGGCCAGGATTGTGCAGAAAGAAGCTACTTGGAATTCTTTCAGCAGCCTGGTTTGTTGATGCAGTGTTAAATTAAGGCCCATTAATTCATTGTGAAAACAAGCCTTCAAAAAGGCCTGGAATTTGCAGCATCTCCTCCTGAATTAATGCTGCATGGCATCACTTTATTTTAAGAATAATAAATGCTAGCTCAACAGTGGAGAAAACCCCTACTGCTGTGTTTGCCCGGTGGCCGCGCCGGGTGGCTGGCTGCTGGTACTGCCTACTTCTTGGCTGGAAGCTACTGAGCATTTTCCCAGCAGTGACTCAGCTCAAGGCCACGGCCTCTAGCACTCACTGCAGATGTGAAGTGGGCACAAATGTACTGCTGGTGGTGTGCTGGTGGTAGCACACACACACACACACACACACACACACACACATCCAGCATATTCTTTAAGCTGTAAGGTCTGAGACTCGAACTGTGCAGTCAGCCATGTGGGATTCAGTCGCCTTAACCACCAGGTCACAGGCTGGGCCCCATCTGCAAACGTCTTTTGAGGGCAGAGCTGTGTCTGATTCATCTTTGCATTTCCTAGGTCCTCAAAAAGAGTGCTATGTGGGAAATCCCAGAAAATATGTGGCTAAATTACACCATGGTTTTGGACAGGTAAGGGAAGCAACATCTAGTAGGGGCTGAGGAAAGAGGTACTGGGGAGTATTAGCTGATTGAAAATCAAAATTTCTAGTTCTGAGGTGAAAGTAAGATTTTTTTTCTCTTTATATAAATGGATCTTAATGTGGAAAACAATCTGACAAGTTTTGTCATTGTCTCTTGGTATCTACAGAATATTTGTTTCAGGAATCCCCACAGACACCAAAATTTGAGGATGTTCAAGTCCCTTATAGGAAATGGTGTAGTATGTTCATATAACTCAGGCATATCCTCCTGTATACTGTAAATTATCTTCAGAGTACTTGTAATACCCATTACAATGCAAATCCTATGTCAATAGTTGTTACACTGTATCTTTATTATTACTTTTTATCATTATAGTTTTTAAGGTTTATTTATGATGAAGAACAGGGTACATGCACAGTGAGAGAGAGAGGAAACAGCCTCAGCAAGCTCTTGCCAGGCTGCGATCTCCTTCCCCTGGCTATCCAGTTCCTCAGGATCTTGGGCATGTGGCATGCACCTGGTATGTTTTCAAGCTGACCTGAGGATCCAAACCTGCAGCTAGCTGTGTGGCTTCCAGCACTGGAGTTCAGTTTATTAATGACTACACTGCCATGCTAGGCCTGTATTGTTATTTATTTATTTATTTTCCCTGAATATTTTTGATCTATTATAGGTTGAACCTGTGAATATGGAACCCATGGATATGGAGGGCCAATTGTACTTCCATCCTGCCTAAGTCCAGCAAGAAGAAAAGGCAGGATTCCCTAACTCAGTGGTGAGTAAAGGATCCCAACTTGTTGACAAACCCACTGATGACTGGAAGGAGGGTTTAGAGTGAGGGAGCAGTGGCAGCCTTCAGGTTACTGAGGAAGTGGGACAACCTTTCTAGCCAGATGGGATATAAACTGTGCTGGAGACAGCGTGGGAAGAGGGTGGGAAATGGCAGAGGGTACAAAATAGGGGAGCAAAGTATATATAAGAAACAAGAAGTGGAAAATTATTGCTGATGATAACAAGTATGAATAAGCCACTCTACAGTATATTCTCGATGGGAAATTGCATATTGTACGCTGTGATGGTGTTCAGTGAATGAATGTAAAATAAATACATTAATTTTTTTTTTTTTAAAGAAAGAAAGTAAACCCTGTTGAAGAACCATGGCAGGGTCAGAGCCAAAGCTGGCCCAGAGAGAGGGCAGTCATGAGAGCAGCCAGGGCTCCAGTGGTAGGGCTGTTCAGCCAGAAGCAGCCCAGCAATTCTTTTCAATTATATTTTATATTGCAAGCAGAGCACTTGCTCTTAAATTCAAATAGCTACATTCTAATCAAACTGCATCAACCTGTTCCATATTAAAGGCTGATAAGTTTCATCTAATCTAGAGTACATTCTAGCAAGCAAAAAACCCTAAACAGAAAAAGATCTGGTCACAAAGTGCTGAATTTAGGGAGCATGGACCCCTAAGTATGATTTTTTGAGGGAACTTCTACCAATAATAGGTTCATGCTTTGTTTCTACCTCTTCCTATCCATGTGACCATAAGCAACTTCACCGTTCGAAGCTTACTTTATCTACTGTAAAATAAAGATAGTGTCTACTCCAAAGGCTTTTTGGAAAGATAAAGTGCAGTAATGCATTTAGAGCACTTAGCACAGTGCTTGACACATAGTAAGCGCTCAGTAAATGTTAGCTACTACTATTATTATCTTGCACAGTGATGAGCAGGGTTGCTGTGGTCATCTGGTGGCAGCTGAGGGCCAGGATTGTGCAGAAAGAAGCTACTTGGAATTCTTTCAGCAGCCTGGTTTGTTGATGCAGTGTTAAATTAAGGCCCATTAATTCATTGTGAAAACAAGCCTTCAAAAAGGCCTGGAATTTGCAGCATCTCCTCCTGAATTAATGCTGCATGGCATCACTTTATTTTAAGAATAATAAATGCTAGCTCAACAGTGGAGAAAACCCCTACTGCTGTGTTTGCCCGGTGGCCGCGCCGGGTGGCTGGCTGCTGGTACTGCCTACTTCTTGGCTGGAAGCTACTGAGCATTTTCCCAGCAGTGACTCAGCTCAAGGCCACGGCCTCTAGCACTCACTGCAGATGTGAAGTGGGCACAAATGTACTGCTGGTGGTGTGCTGGTGGTAGAGACAAGAATGGTGCCTGAATGGCATCTGTGCCATTTAGGGGAATATCCACAGCAGCTTTGTGAAGATGTACAAGGGACACAGGAGGAGGGCTAGGGGAGTCCCCAGGGAGGCATGAGCTACCATTGATTGTAGGAGTTTGGAGCAGTTATGGGGGAGCAATGTGTACCTGTACCTCAGTCCTGTGTGTTACTACTGAATCACAGGACCCTGGGGCAGGACGTGCCAATGTGAACCCAAACTAAGTACACAGAGGAAGATGAGAACGATCTATTTGGTGACCTAAGGGAGTCACTCCAGAATTTACAAGTGATACCAGGAAACCTCAGAGTTCAAGAAAGCAGTCTGCTATGATTCCTAAAAAAACTCTTTTTAAGCCACACACTGTTACAGCTGAAAGTGACTTCAGAAATCTCATTAGCTTAATTGCTCAAGTTAAAAAATGTATAATCTGTTCATATTTTACCAAGCTATACGTATACATAATACAAAGAGTCTAATAAGTCTGAAACTTGTCATTAGAAATAGTCATCCCTCTTTCTCATCTAAGAGAAAACAATTTTCAACTTTTTAGTCCATCTTTTGGTATTTATCCCTGATCTTTAAATAATGAGTTAATAGGTATTTTTTAATTACTTATTTTATCTATTCTTATTATTCTTTAGTTTTTTTTTTTTTTCGCTCTAAGGCACATGTGTTCACTAGAAAGATATGGTGAGAGAGAAAGTGAGAAAGCTTGCCACCAGTTTGGAGCTCAGACCACAGTTGGCCATGTGGGAGTCCAGCACCTTAACCAATATGCCACCTGCTGGCCCTAATAGCTAACTCTTTTAAAGTTGACATGATAATTGTATATCTTTATGAGGCCCAATGTGATATTTCTTTTTTTTTTAAATACTGTAATTTGTGGTTTACATTTATTCATTACACATCGTTGTAGGGCAAAGAATAGTCTTTAAAAGCATGTACACAGTGTGCAATAAACAAATCAAGGATACAAGTGTATTCATCACCATCAACATTTAACATTATATCATGTAGTGAACATTCAAAACCCAATCCACTGGTCATTCTAAAAGTATGTACTGAATTGTCTATGACCTTCTTTTTACTGTGAAACACAATTTTAGTGAAAAACAAATTGGTTACAAGTTGGGCAGGGACCAGCAGATAGTGTAGTGGTTACATCGCTGGACTCCCACATGGCCAACTGTGGTTTGAGTCCTGGACCAAATGGCTTAAAACTCATACCAGGTGCATTTGCATGTGTGCCCCAAATACAGAGAGGAACATGGAGGAGAAGAGATTGTGGTGTAGTCTTCCCCCTGGGGAGGGGGTGATTTCTTTCTATCTGTCTTTCTAGCAAGCACTCATACCCTATAACAAAAATCTCTCTAAAAAATAAATCGGACAAACAAAACATCTCATAAATTAATGAGGATGAGTTCTTGAAAACAAAGATAATCTTACCATAGCCAATGAAAGAATTTGTAATTTCTATGTAGAGGACTGTGGGAAATAAGAGTTTATAATCTGAAAAGATCTATGGTATCAATCATTGATCCAGCTGGAGATAGGTAAAATTGTACCTAACAATAGCTATTAGGAAGAGATATAAAAAGAAAACTTTTACTCACTCACCGTGAGTTCTTGTAAGACCATAAAGAAACTAGTCCTCAAAAAAGCAAAACCCAAACATAATTGGAAAGAGATGTTTAAAAGTGAAGGCGTGGCTCAATCAGTGATTTGGTGATTTATAGGCTTTTTAGGTTTTGCAAAGTTTTTGTTTGTAGCCTTTTTTTTTTTTTTTTTTTACAAAAATTCCATGAAAATAATAGTTTATTTATGGTGTCTCTCAGAGGCTCCAAAGGCTATGGGTCCTGGGTCCTGGTAATTCTTTCCAAAGAAAGACTTAGTTATCTGTAACATTTTGGACTTTTCCTGTTATCCAGTTTACACAATGAGTAATGGTTATAATAAATATATAAATTGAGATTTGTGGAGATAACTCCTATTAAATAATTGGAGAATTTGTATTTAAACCTGCTTGTGTATAAAATAGATGAATCTATATTTAGTCCTGACATGCAATGTTATTATCAATACGTGTGGACATATCCTTTTATTCTAGCTAGTTTGTGTTCTTTTCTGTTTGTCTCCCTTTAGCTTTCCTGATGTAGTACTCCATTATGCAGTTTCTAAAAAGCTAGTTTTGTTTTGGTGAATTCTTTAAACATTTGTTTATCTACAAATGGTTTTATTTCTCCTTCCCATTTGTGTTATACTCTTGCTGAGTATAATTACTCTTGACTGATATTGTTTTTCTTTCAGATTTTTAAATATGTATCCCCATTCTTTCCTTGCCTGCATTGATTCAGTTGACAAGTTTGATGTTAATCTAACAGGATAATCTATGTAAGCAATTGGTGTTTCTCTCTTGCTATTTTTAGGATATTGTTTTCGTCTTTGAATTTTACCAATTTAGCTATGGTATGTCTTGGAGAGGATCTTCTTATATCTATTTGGTGTCCTTAGTATTTCCTGGATTTAGATATCCACATGCCTCTCTAAATTTGGAAAGTTCTTAGCTAATATATCATGAAAGAAATTTTCTATGCCTTTCCCTGTCTCTTTGCCTTCTGGAATACCTATTATGTGGCTATTTGGCTGTTTAATGGTGTCTAGTCTATCTATATGTTGTCCTGATTTTTAATAGTTATTTTTCTATTCTTTTCAGTTGCTTGGACCAAATTGGAGGTTTTGTCTTTAAGGTCAGAGATTCTTTCTTCTGCATGGTCTAACCTTCAATTAATACTTTTTTTGGGGGGGAGAGGTTTTTGCTATAGGGTGTGTGCGCTCGCCAGACAGACAGAGAGATAGAAAGCGAGAAATCACCCCCCTGGGGGATGGCCATGCCGCAATCCCTTCTCCTCCATTCTCCTCTCAGGATCTTGGGCACGCACGCACATGTGCCCAGCTTGGGTTTTAAGCCACCGGGTCCGGGATGCAAACCGTGGTCGACTACGTGGGAGTCCAGCGACATAGCCATTATGCTAACTGCTGGTCCCCTTTCAATTAATACTTTTGAGGAAGGTTTTGATTTCCTGCATCATATTCTTTATCTCCAGAAGTTGTTTGATTGTTTTTCAGTGTGTCTATCTCCTTATGGAATTTCTCCTTCAAGTCACAGAAAATGTTTCTCATCTCCTGGAATTGGTTCTCTGTTTTCTCTTGCATTTATTGAATTTTGTTACAATGAACATTTTGAATTATTTTTCTAACATTGTTTCTGTGATCACTTGTGTTTTATCCATCATTGGTGAGGAGTTATTACATTCCTTGGCGGGGAGGTATTTCCTGGTTTTCTATTTCCTGGGGCTATGTTTTGATTTTTAGTTATCTGGTAATATATTTACTTCTTCCTACTTCTTTGGAGTATATTTATGTAACTATGTGCTCATGCATTTAACATGTATATGTTAGCTCTGTGCCAGTTTCTCCCTTCTACCGCGGGTGGGAGTGTGGAATTCACAGTAGGTGTTTGGGGGCTCATGTTTTTAGAGGAGAGTTTCTCTTCTTTTATTGCTAGGGGAGTTGTGGAGGGAGAATTTCTCCATAGTCTCTTGTCTTCAAGTGTTTGTTCCTATATACCCAAACCTTTCTGTTCCCAATGTGACTGGAGGATGAGCTAGACAAGTAGGATGTAAGGTGCTGCATGGGCTGGAACAGTCTCTCTTCCCCCACAGAAGGCTGATCATGGGCCCCTAGTGATGTGTTCAGGCATCTCTGTTGTTTCCTGATGGTTGAGGAAAAGAATGGCATCAGCCTACATCAGGTAGCAGCTCATACCTTCTGTCCTAGGCCTCCATGTTGTGCCTTCTATCTCTGAGACTGTAAGAAGTGAGCGGGGGTCCTTGAAGGCTGGAGCAGTCCCTCCTCCCCCACAGCGAGTTATATGGGGGTCTTTGCTGATGAGCTCAGGCCAAGTGGCCTAGACCTCCCAGCTGCTCCTTCTATTTCTTGTGGTATTTCTACATTTGATCTTAACCAAAAGGCTGAGAAGCTCTCTTGTGATGTTTCAAAACATGTGCATGTTGAGTAATGATCAGGTCATAGAGTAATTATCAGACTCATTGCCTTATAGAACAGTATCACTGATGACCATAGATGTAAAAATCCTAAACAAAATACTAGCAATAAGAATTAAATAGCATATTAAAAAGATCATTCTCCATGACCAAGTAGGATTCATTACAGGGATGCAAGGATGGCTTAACATATGCAAATAAATTAATGTGATTCATTACATTAACAGGATGAAGGACAAAAACCTATGATCATCTCAATAGATGTAGAAAAAACATTTGACAAAATTCAATATGACTTCATAATAAAGACCCTCTATAAATTAAGTATAGAAATAACGTATGTGATAAATTCACAGTCAACATAATAATGAATGGACAAAAATTGAAAGCCTTTCCTTTAAAGCCCACTTTCATCTCTATTATTCAGCATAGTACTGGAAGGCCTATTCAGAGCAATTAGGCAAATTGAAAAAAAAATACAGGCATCCAAATTCAAAAGGAGAAAGTCAAATTGTCTTTCTGCAGACAACATTTAGAAAATCCTAAAGAATTTACCCCAAAACTATTAGAACTAATAAACAAATACAGTGAAGTTACGAGGAATAAAAATCAACATAAAAATAAAAAGAGTGGTGGTTCTATACACCAAGAGCAAAATAACTGAAAAAGAAATGAAGAAAGAAGTCCTACTTGTAATAACTACAAGAACAAAACAGCAACAACCAAAAATCTCTAAGAATAAATTTACAAAGGAGGTAAAAGTTCTCTTCAATGAAAACTATAAGACATTGATTTAAAATAAAATTGAAGAAGATACAAATAAATGGAAAGGATTAGGAAGAATTAATATTGTTGCAATGCTCACACTCCTTTATTTTCCGGTTTGGATACCATCTACTGGTTTTCTACTGTGAATGATATGGATTTAACTCTTCCAGCTCCCTCTCAGTGCCCCTCCCCTTCCCTTTCTTCCAGATGGATTGTGATGACTTTGGTGAGATCACTTTGCAAGGTTTACATGATTTCCATGCAAGGACCTTTACAGCAGGGCTATGATGTGTTCCATGATTACTTTTCCTATGTGCTTTGACTGCCCAACCTTTTGTCTTCCATGCAGTTAATAATTATTTAGAGTTTTTTATTTCTCTAGTTTTCTACAAATTGATCACCGATTTCTCCTGAAGGTGTTCAGATGCATTAGGTAGTCTGTATTTTTCATTTTCTGAAAGAGATCTCTGACCAGCCCCTGTTTGATCTATATGTTCTCTCAGTCTGCTACTTAATTGTTTCCTGGGACCTTTGTTAAATCTTTGTGAAGATTCTCTTTGCCTCCCTCCCTGGTTAATTGCCCGTGTCCTCTCTGTCATTTCTATGTCTCGGCTTACTTCCCTTGTCAGGTGTAACACATCTGTGTCTTCATGAGAAGCAGTGCTTAGAAGGTAGATCTAACACCTTGCATGTCTGAAAACATCTTCATTTGACCATAATTGATAACTTGACAGAGCAAACATGTACAGGTTGGTAATCTATTAGTGTTTTCCTTTCAATTTGGGTCCTTCAGTTTGAGGAAATTTTATTCCATTTTTCCTGCCATGATTTTATCTCCTCTGTTTTCTCAGTTCTCTGCCTGAAACTCCTGTTGTTTGTATGTTAAACCTTCTAAACTAACTCTGTAAGATATCTTTTCTCCTAGTTTTTCCATCTTTTTGTCTTTTGTTCTACTTTTTGGGAGATTTCTTTGTGTTATCTTTGACTCTTCTATTAAACTTTTCTGCATAACCTCAAGAGCTATTTGTTGCTTCTTTCTTTCTTTCTTTCTTTTTTTTGAGATTTTTTTTCTCTAGGTACATATAGGTTCTATAGGTACTCACCAGAGACAGAAAGTGAGAAATCATCCTTCCGCAGGGGGAACGGCCATCCCTTCTCCATTCTCCTCTTGGGATTTTGAGCACATACACACATCTACCCAGCATGAATTTTAAGCCACGGGGTCCAGGACTCAAACCATGGTCCACTACATGGAAGTCCAGCAACAACCATTACACCATCTGCTGGTCCCTCTCATTTCTTTTTTGATGACAACCTTTCCCTTCCTATTTGCTGGTCCCTCTCATTTCTTTTTTGATGACAGCCTTTCCCTCCCTGTGAGGATTGATAGCTCTCTCTCTTTTTCCTTCATGGAGTCTGATTCCTCCCAGTTGCTCTTTCTTCCATGTTTGTTTCATTTCCTGTATTTCTTACTAAAGTTTTCTTCAAAAGTCTGGGACACCTTGGTTGCGGCTCATATTTAATAGCTGGCTGGAAGATGTGCTTATGAATGGAGCTTGTCAACTGTGGGTTTCACTGTAAATGGCCTTTAGGGAATCCCAATGTTGGTATCTTTGGGTATTTCCATTTGGGATTGTTGGATGATCTAGAGAAATCTTTCAGAGTTGTTCCTGCATCTGAAAGCTGTGAGAGAGAAGAAGGCTGCGGGCTGGGATTCAATATGGAGCATGTAAATTTTTACTAATTTGCCCTTCTCGCAACAGTTCTTCATGTTCTCTAGTTTCAGTGTGTTTACTTATTTATTTTTCTTTACTAGAGAATAGACCTTTCAGAGACTAAGCCTTCATATCTCTGCAAGGATGAGTAAAAGAGACTTGGGGTCTTAATTAGACACCCAATCAATGGCATTTTCATTGTGCTTTATCTCCATTTCCATTGTACCATGGTAGTGGTTGTGATTGGTCTGAGATGTAAACCAGTATTTCTCTACTCTTGGTCAAGAATCATTTCTTAGTTACAACTCTTCCAACTGCTCCTCCAATGGCTTTCCAGCTTCTCACAGTTGTATTCTTTCACTTGCCTTTTAAGAAAACTTATTGGCTTCTTCCTCAAATAAAATAAATTATTATTTCAGTGGGGTTTGAGACAGAGAAGAACTAAATTATGTGTTTAACCTGCCAAATTTAACTTTTAAAACTCACAAACAATACATGTTAACTATGGATAAATTTAAAAATGTAGTTGGGAAGGAAATAAAATATAATCTATATAATAAGGTCCATATCCAGAAAATCCATCATTAATGTTACAAACATAGATCATTTCAGAAATATAATAATGTCTAAATATTTTGCATATGTGTGCAATAATTGAGAATCAATAAACATATTATTTTTAGACTATACATAGAATGTACTAGATTATATTCAGTATTCTCAATGTATTGTGAACACCTTTCCAAGTCACTAAATATATTTCTGAAATTATTTTAATGGTTCATGTTATTTCATGAAATATTTCATAATGTGGTGTAGTTTTGTCTAGCTCTACATTATTGGCTATTTGGGTTTTCTCCATCAAATTTGGAGGATCATAATAAAGGCTCTAATGAACAACTCTATTCCCAAAGCTCTCTGTAATCTTTTGATTATTTCCTTAGGATAAATTCCTAGCATCACTGCACCAAAAGTGTACTTATTATAATTCTTTTAATTCTCATTATCCAACTGTCCCTCAGAAAGACTACATATATTTTGCCATAAATATGTCAGAGATTGGCTTCTTTACCTTTGCTGATCATAGGTATTAGATTTTCAAATGCCTCTCATCTGACAGGTCCCCGTGGTGTATTGCTAGTGTTTTGATTTGTGTTTCTTGGATTACTGCTGAGGCTGGGCATCTTTTCCTATTCATTGACCGTGTATATTTCTTCTTTTCTGAATAGACCTCAGAGTAAGTTTAAGATTTATAGCTATACTCAGATGTGCAGAAATGTAACTTTCTTCATTTTTTTCATAACTAAGCTTAATTTAGTCCTGAATCTCCCCCATTTCTACTCAGCAGAAAGAAACCAACTTTTGATTTAACGACTTCCTACTCTTCTAGGTGAACACAGCCTGGCCTCCTGTGCCTCATCCTCCTATCCCTTTGGCCTATTTACTACTCTCGGTCTTGGGCAGCAGCCTCTATACCTGCTACATCTGCTGCTGCTGATGCCTCTTGCTATCTAGACCCTACCCAGCTGGGGCAGGAGCTACAGAGACCCATTTCTATTTTCAGTCACCATTTCTATGCTCTTACGTCGTCTTTTTGCACCTTCAGGTGGCTGTCAGGGTTCCAGGTGAGAAACATACTGCATTCAGCCTTTTCTGAGGCACGGGAGATTCACCTATGGCTACGTTGCTGGATCTCCATTTTAATCTCTTCTCTTAAGGTAATTTCATTTCCTTAAAAAAAAAAAAAAGATCCATTCCTTGCATGAGAGATAGCGAGGAAGAGACAGAGAGACAGGCACCTTCAAAAAGGTCTCCATGTCATGATCTACCCCTAGTCTCAGCTGGTCTGTATCACCAAGTGCATGTGTCTGGGGTGCTCAGGTCCTGGGACACAAATCCAGGACCTTTCCCATATGCGTCCAGTTGGATTGCCATTGGGCCAACACATGATTCTTCATTTCCTTTTGTGTGGAAAAACCACTCTCATCCTTGTCCAGCATCCTTCCAACTCTGTGATCTCAGCCCATCAGGAATTTACAATGAAAATCATTTTTATTGTAAATCAAAAATATCTTGACCATTGCTATACAGAGGTCTTCAAAAGCTCTGATTTGAAAGCTACATCTGAGCAGTAACTCTTTTTCCTAGGCCAGTGATTTGGTGCCTTGGATACTTATTAGAATCATCTGGAGAGATTTTAAAAATGCTGATATCTGGGCAGCATTCCAGAATTCAGAATTCTAGAGGGTGGGTCCTAGGCATCCGTATATTGTTAAAGCCCTCCCCCAACCCCTGCTCAGGTGATTCTTGTAACCAGGGGAGAGATGTGCTGTTCCAGGCTGGGACAGTAGATCTGACCACAAGACACTTGTAGGTAGAGGGCTTTAGGCACTTAGGGGACAAACTGGGTTGTTCCACTGAAGATAGAAGGGATTGTAACACCTGGGATTTACACCTGCATCTCAGGAGCCTTGGAGGCAGAAGGGGCTCTCAGCTGGGTGCAGGTCCATGTTCAGCTGGCTTGGACAGACCAAGATTGAGACTCCACAGATGGAATCCCGCTGGGGGGGAGTGGGGGGGAGGACGCTGCCCTCCAGTCCTCATTAGCCATTGTAGGAGGAAAAGGGCTTCCTCTGTTGCTGGAGTTTGTCAAGGATCAATATGTTGCAACATATGTTTTACAGCTTCCTAGGGTCTCTGATAAATCTCCCGAGACTCCTCTATTTGTCTTTTTTCCCCCAAGGTTATGAAGCCAACTGTTTTCCTCCATGTACAGATGTGCTGAGGCAGGAACTCATTTCCATTGGAAATCAGCTTCTGAGGATGGAGGCTTCTGGAAGAAGCCGGCACTCAACCTACAGGACAAGCATGGCTGGGTAGGGGCAAGATCTTTTGACCTTGATTTTCCTCGTATACATTCACGACTCAGGAGAGAATGATCTCCCAAGGGGAGCCTCCTCCTCAAAGCTAGATACTAATGATTTTGTCCACTCCTTCACAATGAGATAGTTTAGCTTTCTATGTGCAAGGCACATGGATTGAGGAGTTAAGCACACAGCCTGCCCACAGGACACTCACCAGGTACCAGAGAAGATAACAGCCACTACTATTTTTAGCACTTACTGCATGCCAGACACTAGTAATAGAGATAATAGTATTGATGAAGACTGCCACATGCTCAGCTCTTAACGTAAGCTTGGCCCTTTAAAACACTCTATTACTTCCAAGAGTTGAATGTCATGTCATAATACTGGAAGTACAGGTAAGGACCAGTAGCAATGCCATTGCCTAAGACCTGTTGGAAACATGGACTATGAGGGGCTGGCCCTGTAACACAACAGTTATGTGCTGTGCACAGAAAGCTCATCCTACATGGCCAATCATGGTTTGAGTCCCAGTTCTGGAGGCTTGAAAAACACACCTGGCATGTGTATGAGCATACCCCCAATCCTGATGGATTAGAAAAATGGAGGAAAAAGGATCGTTATGCGACCATAACTCATAGTGGGGTGCTTTCCTTCTCTCCCTCTCTCTCTTTCTCTCTCTCTCGTGAGTAAGCATGGCCACTGGCAATAAAAAATAAATAATAATAATAATAATAATAATAATAATAAATAGAGTGTCAGACTCATCCCAGACTCAATGATTCTGTATCTGCAACCTAACAAGATTCCAGGTGGTTCCTGTACAGATTACTATCCCCATTTATTATAATATCCAAATTAATACACAAAGAAACAGAGAGTGAGTGGGAATTGAGCGACCTGCTTCAGGCCAGGGGGTAAACAGAAGTTAAGTGGGGATTTGAGCTACCATCCTGGTTCCAAGACCTGCTCATTTCCTACCCTGCAATGCTGCCTCTCCGGACTCAGCTGATGTTGGCAAAGGCTGCACTGCAGCACAGCCAGAGAGCTGAATGCTGGAGCAAGATTTCAGATTCCAGATGGGGAAGTAGCCAGGAAGGCTTCCAGGAAGAATCAGTGCTGGTAAAGGAAGCCACATGAGCAAAGACAGAGAGGTGGAAGAGTATCACTCACTCACCTAGAACCTTCTTCGGTAGCCGTGGTCTCCTATGTTTGGATGTAACAAAGGACTAGAGGCAGGAAGGTGGTGATCCAGGACAGCTTTGAATTTCCCTTGATCTTTGGTTACCAGAGAGAGCGACCACACACCCTGTCCTGGCTGCAGGGAGTTTAGAAATGGACCAGCCTAGACAGGCTATGGACCCTGGGCCCCTGCCTTTCTGGATCTGGGGACTTTTTTGATCCATGATTTCCTGCTGTGCCAGTACCCCCTCAACTGCCCAGCTCAGAAAAGGGACCACATATGCCCCTGCCCTGTGAACACAGAAAACCCTCTCTTTGAACAATACCAGTGGTTCATTTGGCTTTGTTGCCATTCCCTGTTCTAACTTTGGCAGCCAGTCATCTTCCCAAATTATAGATACTAACTGTGGTGGTCCTGTCATAGACAAAACCAAACACAGAAGGAAATAGATTTTATTTATACAATACAGAGAGCATCCCAATTCCAAAGATCAGAGTGTCTCATCGGGAGGAGGGGGTTGCCTTAGACTGTGTGTGTGCGTGTGAATGTGATGGGTGTTTCAGACCGGGCCTTGCTGTGTTGTGATTAGCCTCTCAAGGAACTACAAACTGTGCCAGTGTGCCTGGCTTTTCAAGGTGGGATATGAATAAAACCCAGGAGTCCCATGCGTCCTCAGCCTGCTGAGCAGCAGACTCCAGCATGTGGGTGGGCTATCTTTAGTTTTTATGAGGAGGGGATGGATGACATTTGAGATTGCTATTGTAAGAGGGGCATCGTGACAGTCATCTGAACAGGAAATGTTTATTTCTGTGTCTAGCTCCAGTTGATCAAATAATTCAGCTAATCACTTAGGACACAAAAAATGGGAATTTAGAGCCTGCATCTGGCCTTGTCCTGGATAAATAAGGGCATCATTGCAAATCTTATCAAAGTCTTATGGGGGGGACCATCAGCTGCATAATGGCTATGTCGCTGGACTCCCATGTAGTTGAGTGCAGTTCGAGTATCGGACCTGGTGGCTTAAATCACCCCCTGGGGGGATGGTCATGCCACAATCCCTTCTCCTTCATTCTCTTCTCAGCATCTTGGGTACACATGCACATGCACCTGGCATGAGTTTAAGCCACTGGGTCTGGGACTCGAACTGCAGTCGACCACATGGGAGTCCAGCGACATAGCCATTATGCCAACTGCTGGTCCCCCAAAATAGCAATTTTGTAGGGGTGTTCTTATTGTCATTTTACATAAGAGTATAAAAATTCAAATTTTTCACATCAAAAATCTTTATAACAACCAGCATAATATTGTTAATAAAAGCACAAACTTTTCATATCAAAAATTATTATAACCAACATAATATTATGTTAATAATTGGCATGGATGTCCATAATAGAAGGGAGACTATGGAGAATGGTGAGTGTGATTGATGCCCCTCCAGCTGCCCTCAGGCCATCACACATTACTGGATGGTTGTGACTTATGTTGGGTGAGATGGGACCTTGAGGGGCAGGTCTTCCTGGACCTTGACCCATGGACTCTTGGCTTTAGAATCACCTGGAATGCTTGCTAAAATGCACATTTCCGGGCCTCCACTGGGAACTGCTGAATCAGAAGTTCGGTGTGGGTGGTGTTGGGCTTCGGAGCCTGCACACTTCACCAAATCTAATCCTTGGTGGGGTGGGGCCAGGGAACCCTTCCCTGTGAATGAGATGATGACAGTGCGATATGAAGAACAGGAAGAGAAGGAGCATTCCAGACACAGGGAGCAGAGTGTGCAAGGCCCTGAGGTTAAAGGAGCCTGGGACCCTGGGTAGGAAGTCCCTATGGCTGAAGAGCCACTGGTGAGGAGGGGGTTGCACAGCATGAGGCTTCAGGGAGAGCCCTGCAGGGCCTGGAAGGCCAATGGGAGCATTTTGGTATCCCAAGAGATATGGGAAGTCGTTGAGAGTTTTGGTTGAGAGCGAGTGAGGAAAGAGGGAGAATGTGATCACTAGCCCGTCAACAGCCAGTGTCTAAGACTTTCTTTCCTCCGGCCCTCAACCCACTTTCCCACCAGCGTTCACCAACTGGTTAAGGCCTCCACCTGCCCAGGAATCTACCCAGGAAGTCTGACCATCACCTGGACTCCTCTGACTTGATCCAAACATCTCTTGAATCCATCTGCTTCTCTC